ACCTGAATAGTACACCCCTTTTTAATTGTGACGTCAAGCGAGACCACATATGACCTTTGAATTATAATCAGGATATTTAGTGATTTATTAAGAAGTAATTTTTAATTCAAACATAACAAAATCTAAATTATATAGCAATTTTAGGGAATGTAACGTTAAAGCGAGACGTCGCTATTTCGGGGGTGATGAGTTTTAAGGCGTTAATAATAAATATCTAAGTAACATATGCCTGTTTAAATTTGTTATAAGAAAGAAATCGCAACTTGTATACTTATTATTATATTAATCGATTTTAAAATATTATTTTTTAAAATTTATGCCAGTTGTTGGAGATTAAAAAAACTCATGATACTCTCAAAGAATATCCAAAAGAATTTTTATTTGTTTTGTCTTTTTATCAAAGTACATAAAAACAAAATGTTTTGGAGAGAAAGATAAATGAATTCATTTATTTGGTTTGTTTTATCGCTTTATTTGTCTTCTTCGATAGATCCATCTTTACTATAAACATTTAATTGTGTTTATCTGCACCTCCATTATTTGCAGATTTGAGCAGAAACATCTTATTTGCTATGGAATGAACTAGATAAATTCTCGGAAAGCTCTCAAAACTCAATAAAGAATTTTAGAAATTATTCAAAATGTAGCTTTTACTCCACAAATATTTAATAAATAGAAAAAAGAAACGATAGAAATTATGGTTTGAAATCGGAAGGTTTAAATATTCATTATTCCAAATTTACCGCGACGTATTTTCCCCATTTTCATGTAAAAGTGATGAAGAAAGGGGGATGATACTCGAAATATAAGTTAAACTAAAGATATTTTTTAATATTTTCAAGTATTTTAGAGACATTAAACCCTAGATTTCAGAAACAAAACTGAGTGGAAGAAAAATGTAAAAAGGGTGAGATTAACTGGAGGGTCTTTAAGAACTGTCAAGGTCATACTTTAAGCCCAGATGACTTCTGCACTGTGCATTAACCACGCTCTGTCCGTCCAATCCTCGGAACCTCCAAGTGTGCACGTAGAGGAAAAGTCAACTTTCCTCTCCTTACTTTTACCTCTAAATTACATTTGACTACCTGTTTAAAAGCTTTGCTTAGTCTTCTAAAATTTGCTTTGTAATATTCGACTATATTTCAATTAAATTCGTCATAAAAAGGATTATAATTACCTAAGAATTCCGAAAAATATCTCATTGAAAGATCTTTTTGATCATTAATAACTGAGAAAATATAAAAAAGAGAAACTAAATAAATAATAATAGCAATAACTGAACAAAAATATAATTTAATAAGGTTGAGAAATAAAAAAAAGCCTAAAAAATAGAATTCTATCCGAGAAATAATAAAAATCTGTACATAAGCTAAAAGATTTACACTATTATTTTTCTATTTAAAAATAATATTTTTCGACTGTTTTTGTTATTGTTAAAATTCAATTTCATAAATATGATGAAAAATCTAATGAAATTTTCAAACAGTTAATAAAAAAAAGTGAATTATTTCTGTTTAAAAACCAAAATGAATCTATCGTACCTTGCTGTATGTGGATAAAAGCCTGATTTTTAACTAATGGCTTAGATCTATCTATCCGCAAGTCTGTTTACATTCAAAATAAATGTTTTATTCTTTATTTTATTCACTATTCAACTTTAATTATTAATGTAATGATTTTTAAACAGATTTCGAACTAATGGTATTAGTTATCCGATGAAGTTAGCCTTTTAAAAGAAACGATGATCCAGTATGACTCGTTCGATCAAACTATCATTTTTTTTATCCGTCCGAATGTGTGAGAAAAGGGCCCCAAATGGGACCACTAAGTAAATTTTCCCACATATCCCATAATCATAAAGAAGGCTGCGGTTTTCTCTCGAACCTGACAGCGAGGACGTGCGACCGGAAAAGCAAATGAAGCCGCATTTCCGGTATGGCACGCGTCCACCCGAGTTCGTGACATCTACCTGGGACAGTTAGGTTTATATCGATTAGAATGGAGACACGAATAAGCCTCAAAATTAGTGTGCAGAGAATGGAAGAAAATTGCAATCGTATCATGTTGTTTGCGGTGGCTTTTTGGTCGAGTACTGCCACGTGGACTTCTATTGTCACCTATAATTAGGCCCTTCCGTATACCAAGTGTGGCAATCGATAATTCATGTTGACTTTTCACTGTCAGATGGATAACAAAGATCTTTTCTAGATTGTTTTTTTCCTAAATTGACATTAAAGAGCCGTTCCAATCCCACGACTGTTTGAACCCTCATCGACCGACTCCGTAAAAACTCGCTCAGTATCGATTTTAAACGACATATAGTACATTTAATAAATTTTTATTGCGCTCATTAAACATTTACCGAGAAATAGGTAGGCTTATGCATAATAAATCCATAAATTTAACAGGTTAGAGCTTATTTTACGCGTAGGCCTACGGTAAACTTTCTTGCATGTACGAATTGAACGACAGAGCTCGGATCTTAACCAGAATATCTTCACTAGACTTAAATATATAAATATAAAGATTAATTTACCACATTCGCTTGAATTTTATAACATAATCCCGATATACTTTTGACATATTTGTAACATTCTATTTTACTATTAAAAACAATTTATCAATGTAAGTAAACTGAGTTCTTAAGTGGTTTATAACGTGCTCTATAACATTTCAATTCTGTATCATGAAAAATGTTAAGCAAGGAAAAATGTTGTGAATATCTAATCCTGTAATCCCGTAAACTATAATATAGCTTTCACTACATTGATGTCCGTAAAGATTCATAGACTATTATCGTAAGCTTAACATATCGCTTGCCTGCTTTTGTCCGAACAGGCAATATTTGAGTTCCTACACTTCTAAACTTTGTATGGTCTTTAGATTTATCTTTTTTAAACTATATTTATAGATTCATGATATATAAGTGTCAATTGAAATATATTTAAACTTATATATAAAGTTCAAATTTTAATGAAATTAAACAGCATAACACTGTAACTTAAAATGGACTAGAAGATGCATTTAAACAAATTTCACGATAACCATCTAAAATAGATTAGAATATAATATTTAAATTTAGATTTAAATCTTTTAAAATTCATTATAAATTAGCGAATAAACATAAAATAAAATATTGTTGATTAGAGTTTAATATTACCCATTCATTTATTTATGTATAAAAATGGGCTAACTAAAGAAAAACTTATTTTAAATAATTAAATTTAGTCATAAAATCAAATTAATGAAAGAATAGGATTTATTTTATATAAAATTTAAACAAAGTTGTTATAGTAGATGAGTTTTTATGTGTTATAAGAGTTCTTAAGATCTAGCGGTATGGATAAGCATGTAAATTTTTTTTACTACGATTTAATTTAAAGAACTGGCGATACTTAAGTTCTTCCATTAACATTACTAATCTAATTTTAAGTGAATATAATAAGTAATCCAAAATTCATAGCTGTTGATTTATTTTGAATGTATAATCATTTTTTCGAAAGAATTGACAGTTAGAATAAAGTATCAAAAAGTAAGATTTATAGGTAAAAAAAAAAAACAAAACATAAATAAGAGATATAAAGTCTAGCATAGATCAGATTTTGAGAAACATCCGATGTCCATCAACGTGGTCTTTCCTTCTCGGAATTAATTAAAATATATATTTTATTTATTTTTGATATTTTAAAAAGACAAACAAAGGAAAGAGATTAAAGTAATAGTCGATCCTAGAAAGAAAAGTTGGGCAAACAATTTGATAGCTGACTATAAAGCCATGGACAAATATCACTTTTTGTTAACCTGCTTGCTCTTTCTGATTGGTTCTTCCCAAATACAATCTTTCAAGCGAAAGAACAAAAATTGTATCGCTCCCCAAAACGATTTTTTATTTTCTTCTTTTGGAAAGAAAAAAAAAACATTACGGAATATGAATAAAACAAAAACCCTTTTTTTTTATTTCTACAGAGATAAACATTTAAAAGAGGAGAAAAAATTTGTAAAGAATAATTTATCTATTCTGTCATTTGTTAAATTGCCTATGGGCATTTTTAAAATTCTTTCGGGACGGTTTCCTAAACGATTTTCAGATATGAATTTCTATAAGTTTAATTTTTTTGAATTTCTAGATTCTTAGTCTAAACTAATCTTTAAATATAAAAATTTATTTGATATATATCTACCTTAGATGATATGTAAATTTTTTTCTTGCATTAAAATTAGTCATTATACTAGACCGATATAAATTGTAGAATTTATTCTATAGACGTTGCTACGGCCCTCTTATAGATCTAATTTACCGGAAGAGAATCGTTATCGTTACAGTCAAAACATTTTAAACTAATGGAAAAATAAAAACGATATCTAGGCCTATTTATGGCTAAATAAAGACTATATAAAAGTGTGGTTCGTATACTAATTCCAGCGTTTTTACAATTCTGTTTCCGATATTTGTAAAGTTTGATGGCTATAAAAGGCCGTATAAAAGAAAAAATTATTAAAATGGATTAAAATAATATGATTTTAATACACCTAATTGTCTTTTGAGTAAAAGAGAAGTCAGGTGTTAGGACAGATTCGAAAGTAAAAATATTTTTAAGCTATTACTTAAGAGGATAAAGACATAAAACAGCTTAAAACCTAATTATAAACGATTTTATTATAGGCCTATGAATTAACATTTAATCGGTATTAGCGTTAAAGAGTTTAATCTGTGTTTTACTAATGTTAGGCCATTATGCTACATTACAGGCTAAAAGCGTGTAAAGCTAACAGGATATATGCTGTAATATATGTTTAATAATCGATTTTAATAACTAATAAAATAATTATAAACTAAAACAAAAGTTTACATAACTAAAATTCTAACGGTAGTTACACTTAGGATATTGTTAATGCTTTAAGTAATAAAACTAATTTATATCTAGGGAAACTATAACGTATCCTAATATGTGAGAAGAGATTATTATGTTAAAGTGAGTTTCTACGGCCTGATATAGCCACGTAGGCCTAAGTAAAAGAATCGGTTTGTGAATATACCCTTATTAAAGCACGAGCCTTCTATCGAAGTCCAACGATAAAAATGATATATATAAGTTATATATTTGTATGGTGTAATGAATAGAATTCACAAAACACAAATTTCCTTCAATAATGTATTGATTCAAAATGCAACTTTGCTTTAACATGAATGACATTCGTGCACTTTACATGAAACGAGTAAAAAACAAACAAAATTGAACAGAAAAACAAAAAACACAAATGAGAGAGCAAAGGACTGTAATAGATTCGTTTTCTTTGCACTTGTTGATATTCCTTTTATATACAAACCACGCCTTTATACAAATTTGTTTCACGGACAGAAAACGAATGTAGTTCTCTTTAAATTAGACCTACGTTAATTATGTACAAGAGGTTTTGTCACACACCTTGAACACGGCTGAACACAGGCAGATTAAATCGTCGAAGTGGCCGACGAATGAACAGAGTAAAGTGAAGGATGATAGTAAGTTGCAGGATCGTTGGGTAAGGACGTATGCCCGGGGGTCATCGGTGACAACGGGGCATAAGAACCGTACTGTGACATCTCGTAAAGTTTCATATCCGTTTTATTTTCGGTCGAAATGATGCTGCTTATAGAAAAAGGATGATTCGATGGGTTAAAGTGCGGATCCGTCTTCAGTTGTCCGGCAGTTAATAGGCTAGCGTGTAACGAAGAGTCGGTCAAACCCCGAATGTGACCACCTCCTAGCCCTATAGCATCTACGGCCGAGCCTGTATGAGTTAGACCGTTAACGGGTGGACTACAACATGCGGTATCCGCTTTACACACCTGATTGTCCATCAGGTGAGGATGAGTGTAGGTGCTAGGGCTGGACAGGTGCGAATTGGGTGTACTTCTATGTTGCACTTGTGTGGGTTGGTGATGCTGAATCTGAGAATGTTGCTGATGCGGTGAAATGCGAACCTCTCCTTTAGTGCTGGCCGGCGAAGTGCTTCCCGACTGTTGCCCGGTGCTTTTCTGTTGCTGCCGCATAGCCTCTTTCTTTTCGCATTTGAACCGCTTTTGCCTCCTTAAGTAACACCCGTTCTCGAACATGTTACCTGATTCGGGGTGTAAAGTCCAGAAACTACCTTTACCGGGTTTGTCGGGAGTTCTGGGAACTTTAACGAAGCAGTCGTTGAAGCTGAGGCTGTGCCGGATGGAATTCTGCCATCTCTGCTGGTTCTGTCGGTAATAGGGGAATAAGTCCATTATAAACTGATAGATCTCACTCAGTGTTAGCATTTTGCTTGGGCAGTTCTGAATGGCCATAGTAATCAGAGATATGTAGGAATACGGCGGTTTGGCATGAGTGTAACTTCTCCTGTACGTTTTATCGGCCCTGGCACGCTGCAGGGCGGCCGATGCAGCGTTGCTAGCGGGAGACTCGGCCTGCACGGGACCGGGGTGGCCGGTGAATTCTCTACTGACCAAGCTGCCGTTGACACTGTTCAGACCGGACATAGAACCCATGCATGCCGGCGAGGTCATTCCGTTCATACTTTGATTTAAAGAGTTCATAGTTCCGAGAGGAGTCATGTTACCCATGGCAGGTGACATGCACGTACTTCCAGTCATGCCCATACTCATGCTACCGGCACCCATACCTGTCATAGTCGGGGTGGACATCATGTTAGTCCCGAAAGTCTGAGGGTTGTAATTAACATTCATGGATGCCGTCATGGAGCTTGCCGTAACACTGTTCATGCTGTAATTATTACTGATTGCTGTCATCGATTGCATACTACAACTAGAGTCCGGATAACCCTTGTGGGTCAACATGGTCATCGGAGGTCGAAGGTCACTCTCACCTGGATGTAAACACTTGAAGAGGATGGGTCCAAGCAACCTCAACGCGAGGATAGTCCAGTACAGCAATGTCTGATGCAGTAGGGGGCCTTAAGTAAATACTCTCACCGCATAGAAGACGATAGCAATGTTGGATGTTGGGTACGCCCATCGCCATTGTCAGCATGTTAATGTAGGCGGGACTATCAACCTGTCGCATTAATTCAGGTGGGGAGACTCCGCCTTCTCGCCCAACTGCAGAAGATGACATCTCGCCCGTTCCACCAATCGCCGTCGATCTTGCTCACATCCGGGGTGCGGTTATTCAAAGGCGCACCGGGCGACCTTAGGTCAGTCAGTTGCACTTGTAACAGTCTGCAGTACAGCCATGCACATGTACGTACCTGATTATATTATTTTAAATTCGTTAAGATTATGTGGATAAACGCAGAGCTAATTTGTGTGCGTATCAAATTATACTTTTCAATACTTACTAAATTTAAATTACTGTTCACATCACGTGTCATTATATCATAGTATTTTGTACTCTGTACAGCAAATGATAAAAACCTTAATCTAAATTTTTGCTTAGATATTGTAATAGGAACATCTGAGAACATTTATCTTTCTACGGAATAACAATTTTGAAAATTTCGCTTTCAATTCTAATTACATAAATAATAGCAAAAATAAGATTTCAGGAAGAAAAATATAATAATTGCTACTTCTAAAAATAGTACTCAAGACATTCACCAAATTTTTATACTGTATTTTTCATATAAAAATTAATTAATTAAATATTTTCTTCCATATTCAACAAATAGATATAGTATTACATACTTATTAAATATATTCCATTATATAGAGCTTTGTAATTTCGTGAGAACAGCGACGACAGACAAACAGACGAAAGAATTTCTTTAAGACGATATCCAAAAAGATCGTGATAATTTAATAAATCTTTTGATCTATATCTGCTTATCTCAAATATTATTTTTATTAAACGGAACTTAATAAAAATTTAATTTAAACTTGAAGTGAACACGGCGATTTCGTAATTAATTGCTTCGATCGAGTACCCAACTTTCCAAGCACTTATTAAATAATAAAAAAAAAAAATCGGCTCTCCAATTTTTCTTAAAAAATTCAATTTACTTTAAACGAAGCTGTTTAGACGAGCGAAGGCCTGGAAACATATTTAGTTTCTGTATTTTATATTCTTTCGAGAGAGAGAAAAAGAAACCGACAACGTTTATAGCAGCATTTATTGTCTCTCGGAATCTGTTGTAAAAAGGCAACAACGTTGACACCTGCGATGACGTCAGTCAAAAGAACCCACAAGAGTTGTCTTTACGTAATAATTGGTTACTTTTACTTACACAAACGAAAAATTACCCATATCTCGCTTTTATATATTCCCCAAGTATTTATTAACAGAAGAGTTTATAAAGGATGTAACACGTAAAATACATTTCTCGGCTTCTCAGTCTAGACATAGCCAATCAGACTACCATACAGCATCCATATATTTCCAAACAATAGACAGCATTATTCGCAGCAATGCCCACGTTGGGTATCGTGTAATCATTTAAATCTGTCTATTCTCTACGGAGGCAATATTAGACTGCTTAGTACATCACCCGACAATAGACTATTACATAAAGTAAATGCTAAAATTCATATCCTACAGAAACTAAATTTTGATAAAGATACCGAGATGTACTGTACTATTTTTAGAAAGTTATTATGGTTAATAATAATAATAATATAGTAATAATGTAGGCCTATGATAAATTTACGATATTACATATTGTTTAAAAGGTACGATTCGATGGAATAACTTTACCTGGAGCAAAATGTGATTCTCATTGTTATATCGTCTACCAGTACTTATACCATTTACTGTACAGTAAAATCAATACGATACAGGCCTATTATATGACTATCACCGGAAAGCATTGAAAAATACAAATTTCTGAATGTAGTGATAAACTTTTTACTTTCTCAAAATTTGTATCAGTGATATGATACTTTAGAGAATGTAAAAATTCTGTTGTTTGAAATTTTCGGTACCGAAACCGAATGAGACCTCAACAAATCAAAGCTAAATAAAGGAAGCAAACGCAAAGCAACGAAAATAATATTCACTGCTCATCATTGGAAACATTTACAGATTAATTAGCGTCAGCCTTTATTGTGACAATGTTTGTTGTACAAACAGAAGGATTCTTCTACCCAAAACGACATCGGAATAATCACCTTATCTCTTCCAACCCACTTGATAGCCTTACAAACTCGGCGATTGTTATTTGAATGTAAACAGTATCTACAAACAAATATTTCATCGTTTGATGTGGTAAGTCAACAAAACTACTTCTCTAAATCTCTTCCCCAGACGGGCAAATACACAGATTCCCCTTATATACGGTGAATGAGGGAGTCGCATTCAGTAACGATTCGGGACATTCAGGTAAGAATGCTGCGTTTGATCGCTTTGAAACGTGACGTCGCGCTTCACCTTTTTTTACTTTTACGTCTTTAAGTTAATTTTTGATTACCGCTTGAATATAGATAGCAATTATGAGTGCTAATGGGAAAGACCAGTTTAATTTGTGGCGTGGCCTCGTAATTTAGGCTATATATAAAAACGCAATCACTACTTTTAATCGATATCCTCGGGGCTTTTATAATAATCCATTTGTTATGGCTCAACAGATTCAAAACGGAACTTAAATGATATTACTTTTAAATTGTGATTTCTTGTTGATAAATGTCAATTATCGTAATTTATATATCAAGACTAATTATTAGTTTATAATTAATTATTAAATAAGTTTATTCCTTAATAGTCATTAATCCAATAAATATATACCAGGATAGTGTCTACATATATCCCATACCGATGGTTTTAATGATTGAAAGAGTAGATTATGTGTTACATCCATAGAAAGTTAATTATTAATATGTGATTCAATTAAATAATAAAACGAGGATATAAAATAAGCTTAAATATCATTGGTTTGAAGTAGCACTTGTATCACAATAAGTAAATGATGCGCTATGAATGATTAATCATACTTTCTATCATAAACTATATTATATTTAATAATTAGATGGCTTTTCCGAGTGGATCGTTAGTAACTTTGCGAAGGTGCCCTGCAGGAACAGCTCCGTTTTGCCTTCTAATTTAACTGAAGTGGTGTAGCAGATGTCTAGGTTAAAGTCCGTAAACTAACAAAGGCATATTTATGAAGTAGAGTATCCCTTTATTATTCACAGAATATCTTCTGAAATTATATCGTTTAAAAGTCTCACTTAAACTTAAATGATACGAGTCTAATATTAAAATATTAGATATAGAATATTTTTTTAAAATTTAATTTCAGATACTTTAGATAATTTTCTAATATAAAATATTATAATATTCAAGAGAAACATCTATAAAAAATTTCCTAGAGTATGTTATTCAAATTTCATTTTGGTTATTATCCTTAATTATTATTTAAAACTAGCAATCTAATTTACAAAATTCCAAATAATAACAACACTAATGAAGAGAGAAAACATCATTGTTTTCTCTTCAATATATAATTTTCATAGCAAACCGGCCAATGAAATATTTTATTGTGGTAAGTAGCTTAAATTAATATGTAGACTTAATAAATATTGAATAATGCTTGCTTATATTAAATGAATATATGTAACTGTTTATAATCGTAAATACAAATTCAATTTTGTAAGAAATTTAATGAAAATTTAATTTTGTTAAATCTGCCAGAAAGTAAACATTTGATGAAACATTTCTTTTAAGTAGACTATTAAAACAATTGTTTCGAACATGTAACGAAAAATTTAAAAGCTTTCTGAAATATTTTTTAAACGCTATTTGCCATTGTTGTTTAATGATTTTGCATCAATTCGTTGCAAAATTCTTAATTTTATTCGTATTAAGTTATAAATCATAAAAATATTTAGTCTAATTCACTATAAATCTAAATTAATCTTATTATTTATATAGTAGTAAAGCATATAGACTTTTCAATATTCAATATGCATTTATAATTTAATTACAAAATAGAATAAACATTTATAAGTCGCACTAGTTTTATTCTATATGACAATTACTTTGTTATTTTATATAAAATTTCTGTATTTAATTAAAATTAAATTTTTTCTCTATTTAAATGAAGAACAAATCATTTATTTATGATAATGATTTACATTTCAATGATTCTCTTGCATTTAAAGTATATAAAAAAAAAAACGAAATTATAGATAGAAAATAGCTTTAGAAAATAATCCTAATATAAAAAGTGAGAGATAATGTATCTTGATTTATAAATTCTATTAATGATCAGTCTTTATTACAATTATAAGTATGATTTATATTGATATTGCAAAACCTTTGATATAGATTTTTTAGTAGCAAGATAGCACTCAGAAATTAAGATTCTAACTATAAATAGATATTGGCTAGGCCTATTAGCAGTGGTGTAACTAGGGGNGGTGCTGAAAAGAATATAAATTGTTTAAAATAATAAAAAGTTAATGTTTTTGTAGTTAACAAATGTTGAAAATTAAAGAAGTTATCTCACAAATTAAGTTTACTGTATTCCATTGTTTACACAAGAGTCAGTTAGAAATAAAAATTTCTAACACTAAATATAAATTAAGTTGGAATAATCCGAGAGAAAAGAACAAATACAAAATCTAAATTTTTACATTTCGAAATAAAACAAGAATTAAACTGCTTTAACTAGATTTAATCATATAAATGAGGAAAAAAAATAATCCCAAACAAAAGAAAAAAACGTAAAATTCACCCCTCAAAAAAACTAATTGTTTATATGATTTAATTCTACATTTTGTTATTGACAATTGCCAAGAAAGTCTTCATAATAATGATTTTCGAGCAAACAACAGCTCAATGTTTGGAATAGCGTATGATCAGGCAAATTAGAAATTAGTTTATTTAAATTCATTTGCTCAAAAATAACCATTAACGTGATAGACATTTAATTACTTGAAGTCCTTATGTTTATCATATTAAAAATTCTTTGAAAGTAGAAAGTATGTTATTATCGCTATCTAATTAGCAAGTTGTAGCATTCAATGGTTTAGATGCGTACTTCGTCCTTTATATTGTTTTAAAAATTTAAAAGAATTGGAGATTATTGTAATTAACTTCCTTGTTTAGTTTTGCAAAATAGGCAACCTAATTTAAATAAAAGTGATTAATTTATAATACAAATGAAAATCATTTCAAAAATTTAGCACGAATTTTTAAATCTTTATTATAATTTATTGTTTTCAAAGTCAAAAATATATTTAAAAATTCAAACACTTTAAAAATGTATGGATATGTTTTAATTTGTTAAGTTAT